CTTCAAAAAATAACTAGTTGTAAAATCCTTCTTTTTTTGTGGCACAGGTAGTGCACGTTATATGTTGCAAAATTACCAAGATGCAATGGCTATATGTAAATGGGCGGGGTATCCACAACTATTCATCACATTTACATGAAATCCGAAATGGCCGGAGATTATTCGCTATGTTCATGACAAGGGATTGAATCCAGATGACCAACCGGATATCCTTTCTGGGGTTTTAAGCTGAAGCTCGAACTTTTCATCAAGGATCTAAAGGAAAACAAGTTATTTGGTGATGTCAAAGCAGGTAATATTTAAATTCATGTCTGTGTATAAATAAGTACTATGTGCCACAGTATGCATTAAATTTCTGTTATCTTCATGAAATATAAAGTAATTATAAAAGGTTAAAAATGACAAACCTTCCTAATGATTGCAGATCAATGTGAAAAAATTAGATATATATTTAGGTATAAATTCCTTCTTTAATTAATACGCAATATATATAAGACGATACTTAGGTCAGTCCGGACTGACAAGAATTGTCGACCGGTCAAGCCTGTCTGAGGGTCTTTCGAGTCAAATTTTTTTATGAAAGTTTGTGAACATGTTCTTCATGAAGTTTAGAACTTTCACACGTACTTCCAGCTTAAAATTTAATTGGGAAGTCAATTAAATAATTTTATTAAAAACACTGCATTTTTTATGCATATTTTGGTGCACTGCGTTTCAATAATTTATTTAACTGACTTCCCGATTGAATTTGGATCTGAAATTTTGTGGAGATAATTAAAACTTCATTATCAATATTCACACTAACCGTAAGCTGATAATTCAATCATTTGGCCAGTTAAATAAATTTTTGCGAAACACTGTGTTTTTTATGCATATATTTGCACAGTGCGTTTCAATGATTTATTTAATTGGCTTCTCCGTATAATTTTAAGCTAAAATATTTTGAAGATAATCTAAACTTCATGATGAAAGTTTGCAAAAAATTGAGCTTAAAATTCAATCTGGAAGTCAGTTAAAAGTTTTGTTTGAATGAAAGTGTGTTTTTTATGAATATTTTTGCGCAGTGTGTTTCAATGATTTATTTAATTAGCTTCCCTATTGAATTTTAATCTGAAACTTTTTGGATACAATAAAAACTTTATGAAGAATAATCTCACAAAATATCTTCAAAAACGTCCACCGGGAAGCTCCTCAAATTGCGTCGTCCGGATGGCGGTTCCGGTCAGTCCGGACGAATAGGAACATTAGTCATACATATAGACAGCGGTTCTGGTGCGGACCGTCTGAGGAGATCAATTCTCTATGTATGTATGTATGTGTTTAGGAAGTTTAGATATTATGTATTTGTGTTTTTGTATAGTTTTGTATAACAGATTTAGAAATTGGCCGATAAACATATAAATATAGATAACTATGGTTTTATAAAAGTAATGAATTTCATGTTATGTTTAGCTTAATTTTGAAATATAAAAAACATTTTTGTAGAGATGAACTATGATGTGAAATACATAAAAAATGTTCTGCGATAGAGAACCTATATGTGTATATCCTCAAGCACATGTGTCACTTTTTTTCAAAAAACATGTGTCACTTATTTATACAATAAATATAACAATCACTTGAAAATTTTAAACTAATTATCTTATTAATCAAAAAAATTTATTTTAATTTTGTTATGCAGTTGTCTACACTGTGGAGTTTCAGAAACGTGGATTACCACATGCACACATTGTATTGTGAGTTTGTGACTTTCGATGACAGAGCGCAATGCAAACCCATCGGTGATGATCGATAGAATTATTTCAGCAGAGATCCTAGATGAATATGCTGACCCTGTTTATTACATTGCAGTTAAAGAATTAATGATCCACGGTCCATGTGGCCCTATGAATGCATCTGCACCATGCACAGAAAAAGGCCGTTGCACAAAGCACTTTTCAAAGAGATTTGTCGTTCGTACTGCATTGATAAGCAACGTTATCCTGTTTACAGACAGAGAGAAAATGGCAGGTATGTTACTAAAAATACCCACGATCTCGATAATAGATATGTCATCCCACACAACCGTGGCTTATTGTTGAAGTATAGCGCCCACATTAATGTCGAGTGGTGTAACCAAACACGGACGGTTAAGTACTTATTTAAGTGTGTATATACATACATACATACACACACACATATATATACACACACACATATATATATATATATATGAAAAAAAATCACCATAAAAAATATTTTTTAAATATACTAAATGTTACTAGTAGTAGTTTATTCCCTTATTAAAATTATTTATTACAAAATATTTATTTAGAGAATATGAACGATAGCTTATACTACGTTACTATGTAAAATTATGTATAGTAACGTAGTTTACTACCGGAATAGTATTTACTATGTTAGATATATGGCTTTTGGATATTTTTTAATAGTAGTATAAAAAATATACTTAGAGTGAACTTATTACACTTTCTAAATTGACGGAAAAAATCTAAAAAGGTTTACAAATAAAGGTCTATCAATTAATACAAATAATAGCACTTTTATTATTACTTAATTTTTTACTCTACATTTTCACTTAAAAAATACAAAAAAGTTATGCATCTTTTCATGTTGAGTGATGAATTTAATAAAAGATGCAATATTTAAATACTGAATTAGTAAACATTTTTTCTTTATTTACATGTTAATTAAAGTTAAAAGTATTGTATGTGTAATTTGGTTGTGATGAAATGTATATATTGTGGAATATTTTATTTATTAGATTAATCTTAACTAACCTACTAAAATATTTAAATGCGCTACTGCATATTTTGAACTCGACCAAGAGAAAATTGAAAAGTACTGTTTGTTGGAGATTCAGAAGCTCTTGCAGTCAAGAGGTAGATCACTACGTGATTTTGCTGGCATACCCTTGCTACCTAATGATGAAATGCCCTCGCTTGAAAAAGTTCACATTCGTGAAGAGCTGCGGTATAATAAATCGTATTTGATGGAGGTGCATGCAAAGTTGTTGGCCGATATGACAAATGAACAACGTGTTGTGTATGACAGAATAATGGAATTTGTAGATAGTAGAGATGGGAAATTCTACTTTTTATATGGCCATGGAGGAACTGGGAAAACATGTCTATGGAGGACTTTGTCTGCAGCTGTGAGATCTCGCGGTGATATAGTTCTTAACATTGCTTCAAGTGGTATAGCATCGCTTCTCTTGCCTGGAGGAAGGACCGCACATTCGAGGTTTGCGATTCAACTTAGTGTTGTAGAAGACTCCACGTGCAACACAAAACATGGTAATCCGTTGGCTAGGCTCATAGAGTTATCTAAGTTGATTATATGGGATGAGGCACCGATGACGCACCGACACTGTTTCGAAGCTCTTGACCGGAGTATGAGAGATGTGCTTCGTTACTCAAGCCATTGTGACACTACCTTGCCTTTTGGTGGGAAGACTATTGTATTTGGTGGTGACTTTAGGCATATTCTTCCTGTGATACCAAAAGGCACGAGACAAGATATTGTGCACGCTGCACTGAACAGTTCATTCTTGTGGTCACATTGTACTGTAGTGAGGCTTACTAAAAACATGAGGCTGGCAAGGATGCTCGGCCAGCCGGATGGACTAACTATCCAATCTTTTGCGGAGTGGATTTTGAAGATTGGTGACGGAGCTTTTGCTGAAAATGAAGATGGAGAATCACTCATTGATATACCAGATGACATGATCGCTCCAATGACGTTTGATCCCGTTGAATCTATAGTTCAAGCTATTTATCCTGATTTCTTAACCCAGAGTGATCCGATTAATTATCTTTATTCCAGGGCTATTCTTGCTCCGACCATAGATGAGGTTGATAAGGTCAACGATTACATGTTGAGCCAGATAGTAATGATCTCTTGCACGAGATACATTCTCCTGAATTTCTTAATAGTATCAAATGTTCTGGCTTGCTAAGTCATGAGCTGAAGCTGAAAGTTGGAGTTCATGTGATGCTATGAGGAATATAGATCATTCATCTGGATTGTGAAATGGCACACGGCTTCTGGTCACTAAACTTGGAGCTCATATTATTGAGGCTCAGATGATGCACAGAGAAAATGCCGGTGAAAAGTTTCTTATTCCCCGTCTTACTTTGACAGCATCAGACAGTGGTCTCCCGTTCACTTTTCAGCGTAGACTATTTCCGTTAATGGTTAACTATGCAATGACCATTCATAAGAGCTAGGGTTGGACTCGGGCGGGGCGGCCCGAACCGGTCACTGTTTGAACCGGCCCGGCCCGGCCCGGCGGCCCGGCCCATGGGCGGTTCGGGTCGACCCGGCCCGGTGGCTACCGGTTCCGGGCTCGGGCCTTCATTTTGGTGAACCGGCCCGGCCGGTTCGGGCCCGGTCCGGGCCGGATATTTTTTTTTTTAATTTCTTTTGAGTTTTTGTGTTGAATTGAGTATTTTGGGCCATTCGAGGTGGTTTGGGGTGGTTTGGGGTTGAGGGGGAGGGTAGGAGGTTGATTAGGAAAACCCAAAAAAAAAAATTATATAGAACCAAACCGGGCCCGGCCCGGTTCCGGGCCTCCCCTATCTTGAACCGAGGCCCGGCCCGGAACCGTTCCACCCCTAATAAGATCCAGGGACAGTCATTGGAAAAGGTTGGCATCTTCCTCCGTCGGCCTGTTTTTATGCATGGACAGTTGTATGTGGCGGTCTCAAGAGTAACAAGTTCGTCTGGATTTAAGTTTGTTATATGTGACGAAGAAGGGAAACCAACAAAGTCGGCATTCAATGTAGTATACATAGAAGTTTATACTAATTTAAAGTTCCCTTACTTTACATACATGCATACTCATTGCTACGTATATCGCATCATGATTTGTACTTGACGTTGAGCATTATTTTTTAATTTCGTATTAATATGAAACTTATTTTATTTTATGCTTTAATTTGATTGTTTTGTTTTAGTTTTTAATTTTATGTTTCGAGTTAGATTAATTGACTATGAAATTCTTTGAGTTTATGTATGATTTATCCAAACATACTAGTCATCCCAAAAAGTAACACGAACACCTTGTGTCCAAAAATTTAAGGCAACGCTCCATGAAGGAGGTCACCGCTAATCTAGGAGAAGTGGAGAACAAAAAAGCCCCATAAAAATGGCAAGCTAAACCAGCAAAACCAAAACCTAACAGTCGGTGCTTCAAATCTAATCATCTCGAACAGACAGATACTATAAAGTATTTTGTAACACACATAAAGTTTATCTAAACATCACTAGCCCATGGCACACCAAAAAGAGCTTGATATCACCAAAAATTAAAATCTAATCATCTCGAACAGACAGATACTATAAAGTATTTTGTAACCACATGTTTGATTTTTGCAATGACTTCATCTTCAGTCTTTGAGTTATCCTAAAAACAGAAAGTGTTCCTCACTTGCCAAATCCAATAAATAGTAGCACAAAATGCTAATCCGACCGTCTTTGACCAGATAAGTGCACCCACTCTATGCTTCTTTCTAATCCATTTGACCACACTCACCAGTGTGCTCATTTGTTGCTCCATGCCAATCCAATATTTAATTCTAGTCCATATCCTGCAAGAAAGATAACAAACAAAGAAAAGGTGTGGTATTGTTTCCAAACCACTCTTGCAAAGGTCACAATTGTTTGCCATGTTGAGGTAAGCGAGGTTATCTTGCGTTGGTAATCGGTAAAAGAGAACTTAGAATGAATGTACCCTTTCCAGATGAAAGACATCAAGGCTCTAACCGTCCCTTTAGTTCTCAATAATTCGTTCACCTTCTCCGAAACAAGTTTACCATTTGCACACATAGTATTTACGCCCATAATGTACTCATTTGTATTGTGAAAATGTTTGCAAATCGTATCTGGAAGGCTGCACGAGACAAATAATCATGTTCAAGCTGTTTCCACGGAGGAACAACAAAAACAATGGCTTCAAAGTGAAGCATGCTCTTCAGATATGTGTACTGGTAGGCGTTTGCATTTGGCTGCTTTATCAAGTCCAGCACTCCTCCACTAATAAGAAAGAAGCATCTGGAGAATCAACTAGCCTCTCTGAGAAGGCGGAGAGTGGTAATTGTATCTTAAACCTGGGAAGGAAATTCCTTAAACCTCAAACTGATGAAGAAGATGCTGAAGGTTTAACAAACAATGATGATCCAGATGAAGAGGTGGAAGATGAAAGTGAGCCAAATAATGATGGAGATGTAAAAGCAGAAGATAACTCAGAGGCAGAAAGCAATGAAGGTAAGGAAACTATAGAAGAAAAGGTGCAAAAGGATGAAGAAGAGGAAACTGGAAGTGAGGGAGAGAGAGATATGGAACACAAAGATTTGGAGAAAGAAACGGCAGATAATGATGATGCCGGAGAAGAAAAGAATGAGAATGCTAGTGAAGATGGGACAGACAAGGAGACAGAAGTGGAAAATGGAAGTGAAGAAGAGAACAGTGGAAGCAAAGAGGATGGAGACGAGGAAACAAATGAAAATGGAGGTGAACATAAGGATGCTCAAGTTGCGGAAAACAATGACAGTAAATCAAGAGATGAAAAGCAGGAAGAACATGGTGAGAGCTCTATTCAAAGTGATGAGAAAATCATAGATGATTCAAACTCAACTATTTCATGATGAATGGGACAATTTCAGAAGCCTCAGCTGATGGACTAAGTGATAGCACAGATTCAACTGGAGGGGAAGAGATCGGTGATTCTATTAATACTGATACAGAAGAAACAGTCGAAGCGTCAATTGATGATGAAATAACTACCAATTTGGATGAAAACAAATCAACAGATTCATTAAATTTTGGAAATGAAGAATTGCTCAAAAACAAGAATCCAAATGAATCATCCAGTTCAGTTTCTCAAGAAGAAAAAGATGCCTTTACAGATGTGGGAACTGAAGGAAACAGTGATGAACATGCCACCAATGATTAAATAGATCAGGTTCATTCGCTTGTTCAGTCATGTGTCCTCTTTCTTTAATTCCTACTCTTAAAGAGTAAATTGAATTACTGTAAATGGTGCTTGCCAGGCAGCAAAAAGCTATATTGTATAAGTATATTCACTATTTGCAAACTGCGATAAAGGAGACAAAAAGTCTCTGTCATATGAATCTGAAAACTTTGATAAGAAAAAATGGGAATCACTAATTGGGAATCACGGTTGTGTGGTGTAAACTCCCACACATTACTATCTAAGTTCATAAGTCCGTATTATAAATTTATATTCATTTTTCAGTTTTCAACTCTTTATAAGTAATTTTTTTATTCATTTTTTGATTTTCAATTTTTTGGTTTTTCAGTTTTCAACTCTTTATTTTTCAGTTTTACGAATATACAATTTTGTTAGTTTTTCAGTTATTCTATTTTCAGTTTTTAAAATTTTCATTTATTCAATTTAAATTTTTATGTTTTTCAAATTTTAAAAAAAATTAATTTTTTTACTTTTTAAATCCATTATTTTTTAATTTTAGTTCTTTGATTTTATCAATATTGAAGTTTTAACTTTTTAATTTTAAAAGACTTGGAGCGTGTGTGGTAACATGAAATTGGCTGAAGCGGTTGATTCTGCTGAATTTATGAAATTCTTGCTCAAGTGGCTGTATTGGCCGATTCTGCGGATTTATAAAAAAGTTATATTTAAAATATATTTTATTAATAAATTAAAGAAAAAAATATAGCTATAAATAACTTCAACCTTACCTTTTCTTTACTATTACACAATTCAGCGCGTGAAATAAAAGTTACGTGTTTGGTTAAAATGTTTACTGATAAGCCCAAAGACAGAGTCACCAAAGATAAAAAAAAATGGAGTTATTTCACAATTTTATCTACCATGCAAAATGCAATAGGATGGAGTTAAAATGTGCATAGGATCGTACAATTGCACGATCTGAAATGCTTCCTACGATGTCATGTAGGCCTGGACTCGGGCCGGGCGGCCCGACCCGGAACCGGCCCGGCCCGGCCACTGTAGCAACCGACCCGGCCTGGTGGCCCGGTTCACCGGCGGTTCGGGTCGAACCGGCCCGGTGGTTCCCGGTTCCGGGCCCAGGCCTTCCATATGGTGAACCGGCCCGGCCGGTTCGGGCCCGGTCCGGGCCGGAAATAATTTTTTTTTTAAAATTTTTTATGTTTTGGGTTAGATTAGGTATTTTGGTCCATTTGAGGTGGTTTGGGGTTGAGAAAGAGGGGTAGGGGATTAAATAAAGAAGCCAAAAAAAAAAAAAGGGCGGGTGGCCCGGCCCGGAACCGGCCCGGTCTGGCCCGGAACCGGCCACCCCCGGTTCGGGCTCGGGCCTCAATATTCCGAACCGAGGCCCGGCCGGGCCCAGGCCCGAGGCCCGAACCGGCCCGGTTCAGTCCACCCCTAATGTCATGTGATCCCGTGTCTGCTAAAGATCGTGAAATGACCTGGATCAGTGGGATCACCGCGCACAGTCGTAAACTTAAAAAAATTCCGACTTTAGAAATCACCGGCTAAAAAGCTCTATGCGTATTTTCTGCATTGACCTCGATTTACAGCATAGAACCAGTTTTTCATCGTTATATTCTGTGTCGACCTTTAGCCAGTGATTTCTAAAGTTTATATACGCATCGTTATACTCTATGCGTACCTCCTTGTTGTACCTTAATTTTCATCGCTATATTCTGTGTCGACCTTATTCTCCGGTTTCGTCGTTATCTTGAGTAATAGAGGTTAGCAAAATATTACGTAGTATATGAGAGGAATGGACAAGAGGGGATTGTAAAGTATTATACCTCGATTTACAACATAGAACCGGTTTAGTTTATGATCATGCATTTGGCTAATTATGTGGTAAAAGTATGTAGAGGCATAACAAAAAATAACAAATTAATAGCTTAAAAGTGAAAGTGACAAAATTTTAGGGGTAATAAAAAAGAAAATTTTTGGGCATCCTATAAATACATTTTATCTAAATATCCACTTCACTTATAAACAAAGCAAATTCACTCCGCCGATAAGTACTTCAAACTTGCATATGTAATACATATACCCCGAACTTTATATATAAACTAGTTTTTTATACGCACTTTGTGCGACTCGATTAATGCCCAATAATATAAATATATACGGAATATATTGTTTGTTGATACAAAATGAAGATCATTGGCTGACAATGTTTGATACAAAAAAACATACTTACCTCAGAGCAAAGGTAGACGATTAACATTTACTCCTTCTGCATCACAACAAGTGATTCACGTTCCGTTTTTTGTCATAAAAATAAATGTCTCACTTCCATTTTACAAAATAAATCCACCCTAAAAGCAGCTATATTATACTTAATAAAGTAAATATTTTCTTTAACCTAGAAGGTCAATCACCAAAATCAATATGTTAAATGTAGGGTAATAAAGTAAACAATACGACTACATTACCAAAACTCTCATACTTTTTAAAAAAGTGTACAATAAACCTATAAATTATCTTAAACTAAGTGAAAAGACACCGGGACACTTATTGTGATACCGAGGAAGTAATAACCGTATGACTAAACACATAAAAATGAAGTATGGAAGTAGTGAATAAATTAGAGCACATGAAGATATTATCATGAGACGCACAACATCAGGGTATATTTTTATTTAGAATGCATACTGAAATGTAAAACTTAAACACTCATTGCTTGATTTGATAAGAATTAAGAAACATTTCGATATATTTATTAGATAGATGACTTAACAATTAGATTCGTCATTCATGGCACATGCTAGTGAAGGAAGCACTTACAATCATCAAGAATATATGCTAAAAGCAAAAGATAGCCCAATTAGATAAATGGAAAAGACACAATAATATAAGAGCAAAAAACCACTGCTCAATATGCGAGACACAAACCACTGCTCAATTTTTGAATGCTCAATATTGAGAAAAAAAACTTTACTCACATTCTGAAACTTTATCACTCTAAGAGCACGTGAAACCACTTCTCTCCTTATACGGAGTAGTAGTTTATTGATTACAAGGGTTCGTAGGACCAGTTTAGATGTCATGTTTTAAAGGGATAAGTATATATCTTGATATGTGTGTCTAATTTCTTAATACTTCAAGAACCAAAATAGGTGATGATTGGACATTTAATCACCCATTTTCATTTGAAAAAAATAATTTATTACTCAAGATATATATTAAACCTTTTAAAGCATCTCTCCCCCAAAACCCAAACAACTCCCATCAATCCCAATTAACTATTACGGAGTAAAAGTTAGTTCTCCTCGTTATTTGGTAGTACGAAAATCGGCTTATTTGGCTGATTCTTTTGAAATTTATGAAGTTCTGACTGAAGTTATTGCATTGGCTAATTCTGCTGATTTAAGCAAAATTATTTTTAAAATATATTTTAATAATAAAATAAAGAAAAAATGATATGTAAAAATAGCTAAATTGGTCTTTTACAGTAGTTTCAGCCATTACAGCCAGAAAAGTAATTGCAACCTTTCTTTTTCTGCTTATAACACAATCCAGCACACGAAAGCAAAAGTTACGTCTTTGGTGAAAAAGTTGACCGATAAGCCTAATAAGCCGAAAAACAGTATTACCAAACAGTCTCTTAATCGTTCATCCATTCGGATAGCATGCCTTATATAATAACAAAACATGACAAAGCAAAGTATCCTTCAGCAAATTTGTAGCAAACCAACAAAACCAGATTTATCAATTTTCCAATTACTTTCATTCCTTTGAGATATGGATCACATGAGATGAAGAATAAGCCGTACATCCCAATCTTTTTTATATAAACATTCATGGTCTTCATGCGGACAGATAATTGTTTTCCTTTAAACTTTACATTAATGGGAAGGCTGAAAACTGATCGGTATGCAGCTTATTATTCATGATGAATGGGAGTATAATTTTCTCTCTCAAAAAAAAGAATGGAATATAGAAAGGCTACACTGACGTCGTCGGAGGCTCAAAGCTTTACTTTTAACGGAAGTCGATAACCACCGAGGATATCAAAACAATTAGTACAATATCTAAAACATATGGTACTATTATGTTTTGCTTAAATGTTACACTAACATTTTTATCATTACTAAAATGACCTAACCATCATTGGTGCTTATAAGTTTTTAGATAACATTTTTATCATTACTAAAATGACCTAACCATCATTGGTGCTTATAAGTTTTTAGATTTATTTTCGCACCCGATGGTATGTTTTTTAAATACAAATTTATTCGAATAATTACACAACTACTGCAATGTTCCCTTCTATTATTTGTTATGCCAACCACGGAGAGAAAAACTACTTCTCACCCTCATCCTCATCGGAAGGAGGCGACAGGCCCTCCACATTGCGCCTTCCATTGATCAGCTCGAGCATGGTCATCCCATAGCTGTATATGTCAGCTTTAGTGGTGATTTCTGACCTGGAGACCACCTTCGGTGCAACATATCCTGAGTCCCTCCCATCGTCCCCAACAATGTGCTGAGGGTCCCAACACAAGAGCTTCGCCAACCCGAAATATGAAACCTTTGCCGGGAAATCTCCTTTCAAGAGAATATTCTCTCGTTTGATGTCACCGTGTACGATACAGCTCCAACAATCCTCGTGTAAGTAGGCGATTCCTCTCACAACGTCAACCCATAATTGGACATCTCAAGGTAGCGCTTTACTGCCTCGTGTAAGTATGCGCTGAGAGGACCGTTTGGCATGCAATCGTAAACTAAAAATTGTGAGTGTCTTCGCAACAGAGCCCCCATGAACTCCTCACTGTCGCATAGTTGGCCAACCTAGAAAGCATGGCTCCACACCCGCCCTGCCTTAGCTCTTTAGAGAATCCCTTCGTTACATAATGAAGCTACTCACGAGAAAATAGTTTCAAATTTTACGCTGCTCCAAACATGTCTTCCTTTTCCTTTGATTTCTTCCACAGAAATTTTCTCCTTAAAACAAAAACAGTGGAAAGTTCAAGTAAGAAAGTTATAAAACACACAATTGTTTTCTCCTATCAATAGAAATCTTTTCTTCTTATTGTCATTCCATGTATTAACATTGTCTGTCTTTACTCTCAAAAACATCAAATCATCACCACCATTTGAAGTAGAATAGTCGTTCCTCACATTCAACAACTCCCTGATATTTGTACAGAGACGGGTTCCTTCATTATAATGAAGACTAATAGAAGAGAATTTACCCAAACATCGGTTTTTGCGGGTGTCCATAGTTCTAGTTAAAGACACCGTTCTTGCTCCACCATAACTTGCAGTCCCGACTTGTTAAAACCCACCATTGCCATTAATATATGTATCATCAGGGAGGCTGCAACCACTAGAAAAGTCTCCTGCACTTCAAGAACCATCATCCAGCGGCTCAAACCCCTAATACATTTGCATGGACTCAAAGCAGAATTAGTGTCACAAAATCCTTTATTCTTGGAAAATCCATAAACTGAACATTGGT